GGAAGCACTTGTAATCAAAGATCGTCTTTCTGAAGGTGTGATTGTCAAGTGGGTGCACTCAGCAGCCCAGATGGCAGACTCACTGACAAAGGACATGGACACAGGTGTACTTCGTGAGTTTCTCAAGCATGGAAAATGTATTTTACATGACATAGATGAAATCCTTAAGCAACGTGCAGATAAAAAGATCCGCCAACAATGGTACCAGCAATCCAGCACCATCGATGCCGCTTTGCATGTTTTTGCGCTGATGATGGAACTTGGTTGAGCAGTGAAAGCAAGACTCAATGCCGAAGTGTCTTGATCATGCTGGCTGCACAAAGCCCAAGGGTTCCCATCTTAATTAAACCTCAAAGAGAACTGGAGTTCTCCCAATGGCAGTTCCCTATAAACAAAGATGCTCCAGCGTTTTTAAAAAAAAAACACAACCTTCCTGTCCAATCACATGCTCCTGAGCCGATATCTTTAATCTTGTGTGAAAAGAAAAGTTTTGAAAAAGATAATTTTTAGGAGTGTGATTTTTTGCTGTCAACCTTGACATTCTTGGTTTTATGCTGCATGTGATGTGACAACGAGTTGTCTGGTGGTAACTGCATGACTTGCACCAATGGGTTTTTACCGATGAATGCCAGTGGTACGATGGCTCAGGAGGGCCTGGTGAGGGCTTAGGGTTGCCCCAACTTAGAACCTTTCTTGCGTTGGAACGCATCGGTGTGCCATTGGAAAAATAGCGTTGCGTGTGCCTTGGGAGGCCATTTGCATTTGGATCCGGAGGTCCTGAGGTTAGTGGCTGCCAGTGTATTCAATTACAATATATATATATATATATTTATATATATATGCATATATGCATATGTATACATATATATATATATATACAGAGTGTGTATATATATATATATATACAGAGTGTGTATATATATATAGGATTATATATATAGAATTATATATATATACATGTATGTATAGAATTATATATATATAATTATATATATATGTAGAATTATATATATAGTTATATATATATAGAATTATATATAATGTATAATGGTATGTGGAGTGCTTTGTTGATTTTGTTGTGTTGATAGTTATGACCTAAGTATGAATTGGGATGTAAGCCTTCTAATAAACTGTGGCCATATACACACTTCTCAAGTGAAACTGCACGTGCAAGGAAGAGGTCAAAATATGAAGGAAATAAGAAATCATTGGCTTAGTGAAAAGAATATCATATGTATGTGTATATATAATTATTATATATATTATATTGTATATAGAATAAGTGTGTATACGTGTATGTATATCATATATATATACATATGTGTAACATATGGATATCAAGGTTTTAGTGGAGCTGAAGTGGCTCAAGAGTTGTTCTGAAACTCTGGAACACTGTTGGGTATTCCACCATGTTTAAATCCATCTTTTTTCAATCTGTTTCCAAAATTCATGGATATGATTGGTGCGGACTAAATGATGGGATACTGTGTCTATGTCCAAAAGGCATCATGAGCCACTTGTGACAGATTGTGATTGGCTTGGAAGCTGTGACAGTGATGCGTCTTTTCGATTAACTTAAAATGAGACATGCTGGTCTATTCCTTCATCGTTGAGCAATCACCGATTGACAAGGATGAAGGTGTCGGGCTTGCCAACCTTCCGTGACCAATTGTGACAATACTGAAGTGCGGCAATTACAACTGATATATACTAAATTTAATTTACATTATTATAAATATTCAAGTACCATATATTAATTTTATTTATGGTACATTTATCTTATGAATGATATATATATATATAATATTCAATTCAGTACCATATCTCTTCGATTTTTGTTATAGGCTTCCCATGGCAAAACTGTAACCCAGCAGCCACCACTGGTGAAGTGAGGCTCCTGGGCATTTCAGATAGCCTCGCCCCGTTCCGAGATGATCGTTTAAGAAGGCACAGAAATTTGTGAGGCCAAAAAAACATTCATGCAACTTAATAAGAGTAAGAGTATTTATGGCATAATCAGATTCATGCCATTTGAATGTTTCTTGACTGATATAGATGCTGGTCTGGGAATGGTTGCCGCGTTTTTCTTGGTCAAATTTTGGGGTTCACCGGGTGAGTTCACCGACCCACTTTTTTGTCACTGAAGAAGTTTGCCAGTGGAGAGTGGTTAGTGAAGAGTAGTAGCTGCGAAGATTCTAAGGATAAGGCACTGCATGGTTTCGGAACCCGATTCTGAACCATTAAACAATCAATCACAGGTATCGTTGCACAGGAGAAGCTACCAGCAACTATGGCAACTATGGGTTTTAAAATCCAAATACGCAGAGTTTCCGGCCATCATGTTCCGTCTGAAATGGAAGATTGTCAATGGGGGGTTCCTAAAATGGAGGTACCAATCTCAAATGGTAAATGATGGAAATGATGGAAAATCCCAATCTCAAATGGTTTTCCGAAATTTGTTGGTTTACAATGGAAAATCCTATGAACAAATGGATGATTTGGGGGTACCCCCATGACTTAGGAAACCCTCCAATACTCTCTGCATCATCTCCGCAGTTAGGCTCCTCGGTCACGGATCTCAACAGCACCACCCCGTTCCAGCCTGGCGTTTGAGACAGTGGGAAAGCCGGAAAAAACCATGGAAAGCAGTGATAAAAAATGTATGTTTAACTTTAACCATGAAAGTTGAGGCTTTATCATATACATATATATATATATATATATATGTATATGACATGTATGATATTCAATGATTGATTTGTTTTTGGATTGAGTATCCAACAATGCGGGATTCATCGAACCACAATGGACTAAATCTTAAATTATGTATAATTACAGTAAAGAATAACAAATGAATACTTGACCACAAAAATAAAGAATTTACTAGCAAATCAAACATGGATTGATTGATTTGTTTGGGAAAGTAGGAACCATAAATCATGGTAAATTCACCCCCCATACAATAGGGTTTCCTGTAAATTCTGCCTTCAACAAATTCTGGGAGATATAGGACATGCAACTTTCCTGGATAAATATTGGGAAGGCTAACCCTGAAGAATTGCCTAATATTGCCTAGATATTGGGAAAGCTCCTGGAAAATGTGGGGCAGGCAAATCCTCACCTGGAATGGGCATAGCTTGTCTCAGCGGTGCCTTGGTTGATTCTATCTATATCCAAATACTGTTTCTGATATGGTGGTTTCCTAAAATAGGGGCAATTACCCCCAAATCATCCATTTATAGATGGATTTTCCCTTATAAACCATCCAGCGATAAAGGGTATCCCCATTTATGGAAACCCCCATATGTATACAGCTCTTCCAACTGGTCGTGCTAGCATACTGTATGCTCGTCTCCACCCTGTGCTTAAGACCAAAAAATCGAAGCTCTTTATGGCCTCGAACTGGCCCAGAAGCCTATTCAGGAGATATTGGACGAGTAAAAAACACCTACAAATGCCATCAAATGCCTATGGTTTCAGCTCTTTCATGCTTTTTCCACTAATTCATCTTGTCTTTATCACTTGGATGACTTGGATGGTTCGAATTTGGAATCGGTCCGATCCGAAGCCATGCCTCCAGGAGTCATCATCTCCAAACAGCCATGGCGCAAAGGCCTCGCTGGAGGCGGCTGAAATTCTTTGGGGATCTCTGAGAAAGGATGATGAAAAGGGATGCCCACCTATCAAGGAGATCATTTATAGCGAGGCAAGTCTGATCTGGTTTCAAAGTTTCTAATATCCCAAAATCATGTTGGCTTTGTTCAGACCCAATCAAGCTTGAAAAATACCGTGATAATATGTGATAATGAGGGAAAAACCCCAATAATCCAATAGAACGTCAGAAAACTGGGTTAACCCAAGTTAACCCCCAAACTTTCAGGGCTTTCTGACTGTGTCATGCTAGTTATTTGCATCTCATGGGACCTTGAACCTGGCTGTCCTTGTGGAGATTGGTGCTTGGAGATGATATGATTTAATTTTCATGGCCATAATTAGATCCCTAGATTTATGTCAGCCAGACCATAGCTTACTCTAACTTTTCTTAAAACTTGAAAAAAGCGCGAAAAAAGCAAAAAAAGGAAAAACCAAAAAGCAAATCAGCAAAATCAAAAAACACAAAAGCAAAATAAAAGGAAAAAAAAGGGAAAAAAAGGAAAGACAAAAAGGGTCTAACTAAATCCACAGATTTAGGATTGAGAATATGTTCCAAGCACTGTGTCCTAACTAAAATCTACTGGAATTGATATTTAGATCCCTAGATTAAGTTTTCCAATATCCAATAAGAATTCGGAGGGTACAAATCCATATATATATAATATATAGTAAAAATCTCTAGCAGTTACAGTAGTGTCCCCCTTGAAGAACGCCCCTATGGCCTATGAGCCAGAACTGGCCAGTGGAAAGCATAAACTCCCATTAAATCCGATTGGTGGTTGTCAGGTTCATGGAATTTCCCATGTTTTTTTGGTACCAAAACCTCAATCACCATGAGGACCGCCCAGCGGCCGACCCGGATTGCGCCCAGCTACGCTGCCAGGAACAGCAGTGGCACCGCCCAGAGCTGAGGGTGGCGGGGGGCGGGGGTTCAGCCGTGTTTGCAGTGCTCAAGAATTTGCTGGGATGAGCATTCCACTTCAAGTATGTAATTTATGTATATAGATGCTGTATATTTCTATATATCTATGTATATATATATACACATATTTAAAGAATTTCATAGATATAAGGGGGGGTTCACCAAGCAAGTAGGCGTTTGGAACAGAATAAGATGTGGTTTTACCTAACAGAAGTTCTGATTCAAGCCATTTCAAGCCGAGATAACCAGGCATAACTGGCTCGGATCACTAGTTCAAAGCTTACAATCATGCTATATCTAGTTTCGTCGCCAGGGCCGCCAGGGGGATCTCCTAGCAGACGGGGTAAGAAAGAAAGACTTGGTTATTCATAGCAACCCCCAAAAACGAGATTGAGAAGATCTTACGAAAATAGCGGTAAATCACTTAAGTCACCGTGTCCATCTTCTTGGGGTCACCCAGTTGGCAGTAACATGCAGTAACTGGACGGGTGAGTCGTTTCGAGCAGAGGCAATCACTGCAGCAGAAATCCGACACCGCCTGCTTCAGCTTGTGGCCAGCAGTTGCCGCTGCCTGGGAGAATGATCCTTCAATGGACAACTACAGAACTCAAGGCAAGCATGAAGCATGATATTTGGATAACGTCGCCTGCCTTCAGATCCTCTATCTGACTCTATCTCTGCAGATTCGGGACCCACCATCCTATCTTCCACGGATTCTTGGCAAAGTACAATGATTCCTGAACTGGAAGAAGCCATTTACATCATTTACATTGTATACGGTCGCCACAAAACTTCCACAAAAATCATCAAAAATGGAAATCTGGAAGCCAAATCTCGATCGCCTTCACACAAGCTGCAATGCGTGATGGTTGAACTTCTTCTTGTGCACCAAATTCCTGGCGCGATCCATGATGATCCAGTTCGGCTCTGCCGATGTTTGGTCGATCAGACATTTCCAGTGGAACCAGTGAACCCGCCCCACCATACTTCTCAAGAACTGGCAAAACCATTCTAAAACCACTAAAAAAACGTAACTGGTGATACTTTTTGGGCCCTTGAAAAACCTGGACATCCATCCCAGATTCCGGGAAACTGGGCCAAGACACGTGCACCAGAATCAGCCACAGCGCAACTTTGACCTCGCTTCATGGAGTCTTCCACCCCTAACGTCAGGTGTTCGTAGTTCATGGATGGTTAGTATACAACCCCCTATCAGATTATCTTAGTATCTTGACATCTTCAGTATGGCAACACCCATCTAAAAATGTCCTAATGAGGTTGATGGAGTTTAAAAAAAACTCGATTTTTGACTTTTGAGGTTTCAATTTGCCCAAGGTTCCAGTGGAACGGTGGATGCGCGGTTCGGGTTTCTGTAGGCTTTTTGTACCATTTTGAATTAATGGAGATCACGTGGCCACGGTCCCATCACCATAAAACAAAAGACCAACACGGCCAACATGTAGCTAGAAAAAGACTTGTCCTTTGCCCTGAAAGCCCAACTACTTAGAAACACGTCCACTTCCCCGTTTTTTGTGGCGCCTTCAACCTCAATCCACAGAGATTGCGTTAAGACACAGTGACACAGTGCTTTCAGCACATTGCCCAAAGAGAGTCAATGACCTACATGGCAATCTATTGTGTATGGGGCTCTGTTTTGTGTAGACCCATGGCGAACCTCTGCAAATTGGACATCTTTTTTGTTGCACGGACATCCCCCTACAACGGTATTCTCCTGGCGGGGAATCCACACACCCAATATCTCAATCAATGCAATTATAGTAATTATATACTAAGTAATCCCAAAAAGGTAGAACAGATTTGACTTACCACTGTTTATGTCAGTAGGATTTTACCTATCTTTCTATCTTTCTGGGGCTTCGCCATGTATCCCCGTAAACCATGGCCACCATTTTTTGGTGCTCCAAGTCGCCACCCGTTCCTTCCGTTGCCGATGGATTTGCGAGCTGTTGGCCACGCCCTGGTGGAGCTTTCACGCCATGTCTAAGCCATTGAGTTCGGAGACAATTCAATGGGACAACAGGGATGTGTATTAAAATTGGATACCAACCATGGTAAACGTTTACATAGCTATTGAAAATGACCATAGAAATAGTGAGTTTTCCCATGAACAATGGTTATTTTCCATAGTTTTTTGTGTGTTTACCAGAGGGTACCAACCATAAGCTTGGTCTAGAAAACAATGTTCCCCAAATGGCAATAGAATGGGGAGAAAGCCCCTGTGAAAAACTACAGTTCATATAGACATATCTATGTACTGTACAGGAAAAAACGCCTGTGTGGCCTTGTCAAAAATCCCCGTATACAGGTGTTGATCAAATCACCCTGCATTATCTCGAAATAGAGTTGATGTTGATATCCCAATTAAAATGGTTACCCTCTGGTAAACATACAAAAAACTATGGAAAATAACCATTTTTAATGGGAAACCTCACTATAAATGGTCATTTTCAATAGTTTTTTGTTAACGTTTACCAGGCCGGGTATCTTTTGATGCGCCTGGTAGACGGCTTCATCCGTCAGATCTTGCCAGGTAAAAATGTCCTTGGAGACGAATTTCCGCAGCCAGGCCCGCAAGGATTCCTGGAGGTCGCAATCGCAAAACCCGTTCGAAAACTCAGTGGAAATCAAGATGTAAAAACATAATACATATGAAACTCATTTTTAATAGGAATGGAACATCATAGAAAATCCATATCAAATACATATCAAGTCATATGTAAAATCATATAAAAAAACATATAAAAACATATAAAAACATGATAAAACATGTAAAGTTTTGGAGAACCTGGTTTATGCTTTCTTTGGGGCCTCCTAGGATCTTAGATCACAAAAACCAACTGGTTAGAGCTAGCACCACCAAGATGGCTGAAAGCGCCTCCCAACACAGACAATAAAGTAGACTGATATGCGCGTTTTTTGATAATAATATGGGAAACTAAAAAATATAGACCATCCCCAATATCACTATAAATGGGTCGTAAAAATTCTCCGAACTTATTGGTTTAGAATTGGGTTGCCCACAGTACAGAAATCCTTAAAACACATTTGTACTTTCTCCATCTTTTCCGAGCGAAACATACCAAAAAAAGGTTGCTACAGCAAGGGTCCTCGCAGATTTATCTAATTCCCTGCTTTCACCTGTAGAATCCTGTAGATGCAAATCCACCGTGTTCATCCCATCGTTTGCAAAGACAGCCAGTAACTGAAACCCAACTCATCCCATGCCCCCAATGTTGAATACCATTGAATGCCTCCAACAGAGACCCCAAAACTGAATACAGCACGTCCGATACATTTCACCAGGATTTTGACTCGGGGTATTCAATAGCAGAGGGAAGGGATTAGTTTATAATTCGAACCGTAGTTGGTATGACAATCCCGAATCACTAACACGAATAGCCTAGGTTATAAAACCACTGTCATCTATTTCCGTTTATATATATATATATAGAGATACTTATGATTATAATAGTGAAAACAGGGGGACGACCAGACCAACCCAAAAGAAGGGGTAAACCAATCCGCCCATAACCCTGTTACCAAACCAAGCACTCCCGTTTTGCGGAGCACTTGAGCCAAGCGTCAACGGCATACGACCCTGACCTGGTAATTGTTAGGTTAGGGGTATCCGGCTCTAACATTGGCTACATTACTTACACCTACTAACGCTTCTAGTAAGGTGTGTCACGCTACCCTGTACATTGAGTATCAGAAGTAACTAATTGGACTAAAAAGGGACTCATAGCTAATTCGAATTATGTTGGTACTCATAGCTACATTCTGCCTACACTAGACCTACCTGCACATGCTATACATGGTGGGGCTCAGGGGTCGATATATTTCAACTCCCCCCTCGCCTGTTCCACACGTACTGCGCATTGGCAGGCACCTACGCATTTATTGTCGCGAGAGCGGATGCTCACTGCGACCTATGCATTGGATTTAAGGTCAGTGTATTGGCTGTGACATTAACGGCAATTGTGTGCCGGGAAGGTTTCCTAAGTGGGGCGGCTGCACACGACCTAAGACCTTCATTCGGTTTTGGGCGCTGCCAAGGGAATGTATGTGAGCAGGAGGATGGGTCCACACAAGTGGTGGCGCGGTTTCAGGGGTTCAGCTATGTGATTGCCCAGCCGTCCGCACTACGACTCATTTCCTAACTCTATGTTATCCCTACTAAGTTTATCACATGGAATGCCATTATGTTCACCTATCGACAGCCTCTGGGTGTCAGGGGAATAGGCAATCTTAGATGTGATTAGTTTAACATTCGCATTGCAGGCGTTCTTGGCAACTTGCCGCTGTTTACGGTTAGCGCGACCAGTTGTATGGTTAGACTCTGGAAGCAACTCCCGACAAGGGATTGGGGTTGATGAAACAACTCGGGATCGAATTATGGCACTTGGGACGCTAGCTATTGAGGTTGACGGGAAACCAGGATTGGGAAGCTCTAACTCCGGAGCGTTTTATCACTATTCCCATGAAGTCGCGAATTTCAAGGAAAAGTGAAAAAGGTATTGGGCTAGAGATTTCTTCACCTACCCTGATGCGAGCATGGAGCTCAGCATCCTCGTCACCTTTAACTCTTTATGTGCTTGCGCTAAGTGGTGTTTTCTTTCCCTTTTGGTGTCGTTTCTTTTCTTCAACCATATTAACATTCGAGAAGTGGGCGCAGCGTTGGTCGGCAGGATGCCGTGTATGGGTGTTGCAGGTAGCACACCCAGGCGTATCCTCAGTGGTGAGGACATGATCTAAGAGGATGTTTATGGGACATCTCCTAAGATCAGGTGTTGAAGGGTCATTATTACCCCCATCTTTATGACAGAGAACGTCATCCTCAGTATTATTAGGGGATTTCAAGTCATGCGGGTTACCCCCCCTGAAGAGGGCATGACCACATAACATACCTACCGGGAAGACGAGATCGCCTTCATGCACCAGACGCGCTGGGTTGTGCACATTGGCTGCTACGCTTTCACTTCTATGCGACTCAACTTTGCCTGATAGTACCTCAAACTTTTGGGAGCCTTTATCTAGGATAACGCCGTTTGGTGAGAGCTGCTCGTGCTGCTGCTCTGAAGAATCAACAGAACCATCGGCCTTGCCGTCATTGGAATGTGAAGACTCCACAGCGTTATCTTTAGTTATATGGCTAATGGTGTAAAACTGGCTATTTGATAAGTTTAATCGCGTATGGCTTGGATTGGTGGCTCGCTGCTTCAAGATTTTATCCTTTGGCGGCTCACCACTCCCCAGTTCAACTAGGAGCTGGTCATCCATTGGGTTATTGGGTACGTTGGAAACATCGCCAACGACCACTTTAGATCCCGACGTGTTAGCCAAACCAACAGCGTCACCAACAGATTCAGGTGCTAGATCTGTTTCTACATCTTTTGCGGGTGGAAAGACATTATATGTAGGGATTGACGAAACGCCATAGTTATTGGGATCATCTACTTCTACAAGTGTCTTGGGTCCTACGGATGATGCTGGCATTGCATTTGGTACGGGAGCGGGACGCTCATTTGGATCAAATGAACATGGAGTCAGTTCCTCATCATATTGTGGGACGTACTCTACCACCCTAGATGCGCGGATTTTAGCGTTCTTGGGAACTTTTAGCCTGCATCTATTGACGTTTTCGGGAGCTATTAGATAAGGGACACTCTCCCGTGGATCCCAGATGAACATGTAACCTTTATCTATGACTGCTTTACCTATACTTTGCGCTGGAGGGCATTCCTCAAGAACGTAGACTTCTTCACCATCAAGAATCTTACTGCCACTAAATGTCAGGGATTCCTTGCCGGATTGGCTGCCACCTCCAGTAGCGAAGGCTACGGGATTTGGGGAGTGCTGTACACTCTCCCGCATGGATGGTGTGAGGGCTTGGCGTCCAATGAGGTGTCGACCTGCTGCAGTGTCCCAAAGCCAAGGGATGGCTGTGGAAGCTTCGGAAGGCATAGCAGTGATTACAGGTTTAATCGCGTCAGGGACAGCGATCTCTGGGACTATCACGGTTGCTACGTTAGCATAAGCATTGGGAGGGGCTTTGCCACCTTTGCTAAGTGATCTAGGAGGAGGTCCTCGATATCTATTGTCTTCAGAGTGGAGGAATGCGCACGGTTCTGCGCTACATATATTGTACGCGAAGAACATGCAAGGGGTGATGGCCTTTTCGGCTGCTGACTTACGAGCTGCTCTCCTGGCCTTCATTCCCTTAGGGCTCGTGCCATCCACATCAGTGGATGGAGGCTGCTCTAATCCTACGGGTCTAGCCCTGCATGTCCTCTTCAGTCCCACCCCCCCTTGAACCCTGACTTGCTGGAGATTCATGGGTGTTCTCCGAGTCTGGGTCTGGGGTTGGTGCCGGGGCACCAGCGATGTTGTCATCGGGAGGTGGATTGGTACCAAAGTACCCTGCCGCTGGTTTTAGACCTAGCTGTTCATCAAAATCTCGGCGATTGCGCTCTTGCTGTTCCAGTTGGATGGCTAGTTCAACTTTAGACCATAACCAATCGGTTGTGCGGCGATGGCTATCTAGTCGGGCTTCCCTAGCTTTAACGACCTTCGGGGCCATTACATCATGGTGCTCAAGCTCGTCGATGAGATGGTTAAACAACGTTTGCGGTCGCGGCAAATCCTCTATGGGAATTGTTGACATTACGTAGATATAGGTATCTCTAAAGGTAACTAGATCGGCTATAGTGTTACCGGGGACCTTAAGGGACAACAAATTCCTTTCGCCAAGCATGCCAAGGCGGCCACGCTCTAGCTGGAAATGTTTAAATATTCTACGCAACATCGCGCGCCCGCAGGGCATAGCCCCATTAGCAGTGCGCTCAGATTCTAACATCTGATTGAAGAGGAGTCCAAACTTTCCGCCTTTGCAAGTTCCTAAGAGCTTGGATGCTACTTCGCGGTCAGTGCGAGGGTAGCGAGGGTCAGCTTGGAGTTCTTCCTCTGTTAGGGTTAGGCACTCCTGGGCCCACAAGTAAAGTTCATTACCAGGGGTCTTTTGAAGTTTGCCTATGGCCATTAACACCTGGTTCATGTAACCTCGAGCTTCACCTGCATTAACAGGAGGGTGGGGAAAAACCAGGTCAGTCAGAGACGTGATCATAACGGTCATGGCTTCCCGTCTCGCGAAATTTACAGGTGATATGGAGGAATTGTCGGATGATGACCCTGAGCTCGAAGAGTCAACCGACCTACGTGAACTTTTGTGGTGATAATATGATGGCATTGAGTGTTGGGCACCTCGTCGGACAAGGTGCAATGGCAATGGTGGCACAACCGGAGGAAGCACCTGCTGCGGGAATAACTCACTTCCTGTGGCTCGACGAGTCGAATTACCACATGGTGTACCCGCATGGCTCGCATGACTAAGACCTATCCCTAGTGGCGTGCCAGAGGCAGCGCCCTGTGCAAATGATGCTGGGGGCGCACCGGCTGATGCTACTACTTGGTGTGCTTTTGCCAGAGTTGGGCTCGAACCACTTACAGCATGTGCGCGAGGCACAACAGCGTTTGATGCTGTAGGCAAGTTAGCTGAAAGACTAGGTCTTACTGAAGCCACT